AGTGTCCGTCATCAGGTGGGACCGTCACAGCTAAATTTACTGTATCAAGTGAGGCAAAATTCCAAGACAAGCTCTGAAATACAAGTTAAGGAGGAGGGGAAGAGGGGCTTATCTGAATGTGGTAGCCAGGGAATGGAACGTGTTGGGGGGGGGGGGGGGTCGGGGCTAAAAGAGAACAATCGGTGCGCCTCGAATCGATTGTAACCGGTGTTGGCTGACAATCCAAATACAAAAAAGTAATACTGTTAAACGCTGGGGATGTCAAAACTCGGTGAAGTAGAATAGTATCTGTCAAATAATATGGTACAAATATGCGTAGTTAAATATTTTTGACATGGTTAATAACATGTATCCAATGATTACTCAGTTTCTACCCATTATCACGGTTGAAGTTATGTCTGTGTTTGTATATCTGGATGGCTTCGTGTACAAACCTTTGATGGTAGCCAGAAGGTTTGCAGAGCACCTTGGTCTCGGAAAAGACAATATCATGAGAGCCCACAGCATTGTAGCAATGATCGGCAATGGTGGAAGACTCAATTTTGCCGTGTTTCAGATCTGACTTGTGCTCGCGGACACGATCGGAGACATGACGTTTCGTTTCCCCAATGTAACAATCACCACAGCTGCAACTCAGTTTATAGACTCCAGGGTATTACAAGTCAGGAATGACATCTTTTACAGATGGGATTAGATCACAGATTTTATGTACTGTACTGAATCGGACTTGGATCTTATGTTTGCTTAGAATTTTGGAGATCTTTTTGGTCACGCCTGCTATGTATGGCAACGTGATAGTTTTGATCGGAGTTTCAAGTGGTTGTTTCTGTATGGTGGGAGAAACAGCTTGGCGGATAGTGCGGTCAGAGTATCTGTTCATCTTGAGGGCCAATAGTTGCTCGGAATTTTATGTTTTAAAATTTAAATATTGATTTAAAGCTTTCGTGACAGCAGGGATTCATATTATTGGTTCTTTCGGTAAAGTCACGTAGAAGGGAAATAATAAAATAATACAAATATAAAACAATAAAAATTCTCACGACGTTTCGACTGCAACACAAGCAATCATCATCAGATGTGAAATCCACAGCAATAAAATTTCACACCTGATGATGATTGCTTGTGTTGCAGTCGAAACGTCGTGAGAATATTTATTGTTTTATATTTATATTATTTTATTATTTCCCTTCTACGTGACTTTACTGAAAGAACCAAGAATATGTTTTAAAATTTGTTAACATTTTTAAAATGATATTTTTTTTCATGTTTTACAATTTTCAATGTTGTTGAATTTTTTTTTAATGAAAAATATTGCAAGAATCTTTTACACACATAGGTGAAGTTCGCTATCCCAAGAATTTGGCGGGAACCCACTGACCACTCAAGCAACTGCTACTTCTACATGGTGGACCCTTCCAAACGTCAGACTGGCAAGAATGCACCTGCTATCACATATCCGGACCTTCCTTCATCCATCGCCCCGGTACCACACTGCCATGACGTAGATCCAGATGACAATTTCAGAGGTGGAGCTGAGGAGAGAAACCCATAGTACCCCAACCAAAAATACCTCAACGACTTGATCAGAGATCTTGGTCTCACCAAGTCCAATGGCGAGCTTTTGACATCGAGGCTCAAGCAGTAGAACTTGTTGGATGAAAATGTGCAAGTCGCAGATTAGAGGAAGCGTCACCAACCTTTTTGCAGCTTCTTCACCCGTCAAGATGGGCTCTGCGTCTGCCACAATGTGACCAGTCTGCTCGAGGTAATCGGGATCGCCTGTAACCAGAATGAGTGGCGCCTCTTAATTGACAGCTCATCCAGAAGCCTCAAAGCTGTGCTGCTCCATAATGGTAACAAGTACCCGTCTCGTCCCCTGGCTCACTCAGTGCACCTCAAAGAGGATTACAACAGCATCAAGATCTTGCTGGATCCCTTGAAGTATGATGAGTACGGCTGGGAGGTCATCAGAGACTTCAAAATGGTGGCATTCCTGATGGGTCTCCAAGGCGGTTTTCCCAAGTTTGCCTGCTATCTTTGCCTTTGGGACAGCAGGGACACCAAATCACACTACCAGAGGCAAGACTGGCCACAGCAGACCGAGTTCTCTGTGTAGAGGAACAACTGGTGGACCCCCGGAAGGTGCTGATGCCACCACTGCACATCAAGTTGGGCCTTATGAAACAATTTGTCAGAGCTGTAGAAACGGAGTCAGCAGTCTTCAAGCACCTTCAAGACTTCTTCTCTAAGCTGTCTGAGGCAAAGGTCAAAGTCGGTGTCTTCGTCGGACCACAGATAAAGAAGATCCTGGAGTGCAATGAATTCCTCAAGAAGTGCACTAGTAAGGAGAAAGCAGCTTGGAACAGCTTTGTCGCAGTGGTTCGTGGCTTCCTGTGCAATCACTACGTGAGCTGATTGAGACTCTGGTGAAGAACTACGGCACAATGGGCTGTAGTATGTCCCTCAAAGTCCATATCCTTGATGCTCATCTTGATAAATTCAAGGAGAACATGGGAGCGTACTCGGAGGAGCAAGGCAAGCGCTTCCTCAAGGATATACTGAACTTTGAACACCGCTACCAAGGACAGTATAACGAGAACATGATGGTAGACTACATTTGGGGGCTGATTCGTGGAAGTGATTTACAGTATAATCGTAAATCTCGAAAAACTACCCACTTCTAAATATTTTGTAGTCATTTTTTTATTACTTTCGTATAAATACATGTAAATTTTGATTCATATGTTCCTTTTGTCTGACTTTATGTGAACGAAAATACACAAATTCGCCCGTTTTCTCATTGAAAATAGGTCAATTTCAAATATCACTGTCCTGGTCACAAAAGCAAAGTTTGTGGGGAATAATAGCCATTTTCGAAATAACACTTACTACCCAGGAACCAAAATTATGTTAGATAGTGTCATCAGTCAGCGTTATAAATTAATGAGCATATGAAATATATACCCTTTCTTTTGGTTGTCCGATCGACAATGAGCAGAATCGATACCATAGACACCTCGATCGATGTTCCACAAGACCGCCCCATTGGGCAGAGATACACTGGGTTTCCTAACGAATACATTGAGGTTGCACTCATTATGCACAAAGTGCTTGCCACAAATTAACCCACAATACCTTGCTGATCTCATCAGGGAACATAAACCATCACACAAATTCCGGCCATCCTTGCAGTAGCAGCTTTTGGCTAACCATCGGACAAAGACAATCACCGCATTACGCACTTTCAGATGCATTTCTGCGGCCGTCTGGAACGCTCTTCCTTCCGATATTAGGAAGCCATAGGAGCTATGCACTTTTGAATCTAAATTTCAAACTCATTTCTTTAGCACGGTAGGCTATGTATGTGAAATATATTTAAACATACATCCACCCGTATGGGCAACGCATATTTTCTTCCATATGTGGCTGATCACTGATCCGTAATTTCGTCGACTGTCCAATAATAAATGTATTCCAGGGCAATGCCCTCTTCGTTAACGTGGCCGGGCCTCGCGTCATCTCAGCGAACGGTCCTGGATTGTGACGCTGCAGAAGCCGCTTCTGTGCTTACTCAGCTTAGGTCTGTCTTTATAAATGCTCGATGGCCCTTGGTCCATGAGCCAAGGGTGGAGGTTGTTCGGTAACCACTCGAGGTGGCAAACGCTGCTGGTATTCAACAGAGGCAGAAAGCTAAAACATCGACGCTGTCTATTTTTCAGACCACACTTCATACTGTCCACATGTCCCATATAACGTACACATGTTTTTCATCGGCAGTATATTGAACATTGTTACTGTCGTTTTTATGAATGTGCTTGTCTATATTACCATTGTGGTGATCTTTGCATATGACAAAGGCTAATATTGGATCCACTACTCAACTTCCTTATTTTGTCTGCCCCCAAAAATCTATTGGACCCATTTCGCCAGTATCAAGATGATTAAACAAATTAATTGGCTTTACCCTTTCCGGCAAGAATACAGGAGGTGTTTAGATGTTCAAACACCACACAAACACAAGGCATCAAGTCTGCATTAACCATGCACGCTTGTGGTAATACATGCAAACAAACATGCTTTGATAATAATAATAATGTATGCATTGCCCTTCAAACTGATTGGCCTACACCAGAGACAGTCTCCTTTATGGTCCTGTCTCAACAGTGTTCGACCACAGAAGGCCACAAGGCGAACAACACAAAGACAATGCAAATATCAAGGCATTAATGGCTCTGGTCGAGCCGTCATGGGAATCTTTTTTCCAGCATCAAGATGATGAAAACATGAATATGCCTTTATCCCTTTCTGGCAAGGATAGACACCGATCAGAAGCCATCAACATTTTATTCCTGATACGTTACCACGATGACCTTTCTGTCGTACGTGATTTACACAACTCTTCAAGAAAATTATTCTTAGCATTTGCCACTCCGGGTGGTACCAATAGTCAAATTTTTTGCCAATGCCTGGAGGACCACTTACTGCATCCGATATAGGATGCAGTAGGTGGTATCCTCTTTAATGGTGTATTTAAGTCATCAGCCCTTAGAGCCGAATTGTGCTGAATTGGGTTACAAAACGCTGTGAAGTTTATCTCATGTAGTCATCGGTGACTGGGTTGAGACCATGAACTCATAACACTTGAGCACCTGGTCACATTGGCGTTGGCTCAGTGTTCTAACACAGATGTCATGACCCAGTAAACGTGTTAACGTTGGTCCAACGTTTGCACCTCGTTGGAACCGCTTGACCCAACGTTGGCCTAAAGTTCCTTGTGTCCTGGGGAGGCCCATTAGCAACCAGCCACCTTGAACAGGTGATCTATGAGGTGGAAGGGGGGGGAATCCCATTCCAGTGACAGGTATTTTCATTTTAACGCAAGCGACAACCACATTTTCCTCTGGTGTGAGCTGTGATGGAAATTCCGGAGAGGCTTTGGAGAGCTCATTTCCCAACTGTGCTTGAGAAACGTTTTTTGAAGAGAGATTCACCGATAAGGAACACAGTGCATGAGCAATTCGCAACGCATCAAACGGGCCGTTTGCTTCCTCCGAACGGATCTGCCATCGAACGTAATGGCGCCTACGACGATGGCTCGTTTCTCTGTGTTCGGCTGTCTCGCCGTGGTCTTAGTTTCAGCCAAGATACTGACGTACGCAAGAGAACAAATAGGTAAGGCGCTTTGTTGTTGTTCCTACGTATGTTTATTCTTTAATTAGCATTGATGCAAACGAAAAGCCGCTTGATTCAAGAAATAAGAAAAAAATTACGCAGTTTTCTGAATCGGGAAGAAACTTTCGTCACGTTTAAGAATAATAATGATCAGCATATTTACAATTCAACTAATATTCGGATTGCGAAATAACGCCGCGGTGTAACGTGCAGTGCAGTGGTCACTCCACTGTGCGTTTGAACTCCTGGCGATATCTGAACCAGTACTGGGGTCCCCAGACTAACCAGCATGATGAATTATGGCAAAACAGTCCCCATGGCTGATGCAGCATGGGGATGCCTTAATCCAGCAGTGGATTGCCAAAGGGATGTTGAACGGTTTAAAATTGTCAAATTATTATTTTACGCGTTAATAATGTTGCAGCGTAGTCGTATCTTAAGAAGCTCAATCTAAGTGAGTCTCACTGCGTATACGGTATGTCGCAATGTGATATGCGCAGTGCACTGGCTGTGATACTAATATGTTAAAACGTGGGCAGTTTTACGTATATGTAATGATTTTACCCATTTCTAAAGAAGCCAACAAGTCGTCATGGGGGTCAAATTGAGGCAATTTTCCTACTGCTTGTACATTCATAAAGAGTCAACTTGGTTCAGTTAAGAGTGATGCACATTGTAAGCCTGGAAAGATCACATTAGGCAGCATATCATCGCAACCCACGGTAAGTTATTATTCTTAATTGTTTAAGTAATATTCGAAGGGTCGCAGCCACTGTGCTGCAATGGTCAGCCACGCTGGACTTACAACCCCAGAGGTCGCCGGTTCAATTCGATTTCCCGGCGCGGCAGTCGAAACAATGGGGAGAGTTTCTCAACCCCCAACTCCGCGGCGTCTGTCCACCCAGCAGCTCTATAGATGGGTTCGCCACCACGGTGAGTCGATCGGCAGGTCGCCTGTGGCGTTGTGGAGTGAGGGTGTTACCCCCTCTACCAAGGCGTCTGGCCAGCGTGCGAGAGTCGGCGAAATACGCCACCCCCGAGAAACCTCTTTAGAGATCTCTCTAGCAGAGGCCCTTCTTCCAGCAGTGGCGTTAGCAAGCAAATTGCAGGGCTGCTCCTTTACCTGAAAGTCAGAAATGTATGTACTGTATGTTGAATTTTTTTCCCACCGTACGGAACCAACCGTGCTAATCGGAAGTGCAGTGTAGAGTCTATGGGCAGGGTTCGTCTATGGGTAGTACGGAATGTATGTTGAACTTCTTTCGCACCGTACGTGGCCAACCGTGCTAATCGGAGGTGCGGGGGAAGTACAAATAAAAGGTGGCGTGCGATGTGTTTTCCCACCCACAACGAAGTTCGTTTCCACCGGCTTTCGATCAGCACTGTGCGTGGACCATTGTAAACGGCTGCACCATTACTATGCTAAGTTATTCCATTGCTAAATTTGTGGACATCTATAATGGTATTTTACTTTTACGATGGATTGAATTCTGTTGCTTAACGGTCAGTTCACATCTTACTATCATCTAAGCTGTATTTGTGAAAGTATCCGGCTTGCCTTTTCCTATAATTGGCAATGTCCCCCGTTTCGGTGTACTTTGAAGTGTAACTTGGTGGCATGTTACGTACGTAAAGACTTCAACTTCTTTCGCACCGTACGTAGCCAACTGTGCGAATCGGAGGTGTGATCGCTCTCCAGATGCCTTAAAATAACAAAAAATACTGTTTTGTTATGTAGTGTTGCTGTTGTTGCTGGCCCACATGTATCCTAACACTTCAGTTCTCTGCGCAGTGATCGATGGAAATTGCAGGTATGGGATTGTCCTCGTGAAAGGAAACTACAGCTTCACTCTGGAAAAGGCCAACGAAGTGTGCGGCCTCCTAAACTACACGCTGGCCACCAGCGAAGAGCTAGAGCAAGCGTACAACGTAGGCTACGAGACGTGCCGGTAAGAGATGCTGCCCCGGTGCCTTCACATCGACTGCGTTCGCTTTAATAGCCGGGCGGCGGTGGTGGCTGCTGCCTGCTGCGCGTGCCTGCTACCTCTCACCCAGCACTGTGGAGGCAACAGCGATCGGTGGGGTTTGTGGATCGCACAAATGTGGCGAAACTCCCTTCCCGTGGGTGTCGCCAGGGGCTTTGCCACGGCCTGGCTCGCCAGGGGTTGGCGGTGCAGCGAAATGTGGAATCTATCTCGTCCGCCCGCATGGGATAGAGTGTTGCCCCCTCGCACGTGTGTATTTTTCGGGGTGCTCCGATTTCCTCCCACATGTGAACACTCGTTAATTGGCTGTAAACACCTTGATAAGTAGGGGACCGCAGAGCTTTGGCAATTATTGGTGCCAGCTCACCGCCTGGCGGCTGCCTTCCCACTCGTCTGTGGTTCTTCGCGCCTCTGAGTGCCCCTCTCTCTTCAAGAGTGAGCACATACTGCGAAGTGCAATAAACGTTGAATTCGCTATTCGTTGTTTTCCTGACTGCCTCAGCAATTGTATTTACATTTAATTTGTGTGCAATGTTCTCCCTCACCTGTTACTTTTAATCTAGTGATTTTCCTTTATAAAAGTCACGTCATATTGTTTATAGTTTTGTAAATTTTATGGCAATGTACCTTAATTTTATTTGGACTTAATCGCATCGTACTGCATTAATTAATTGCCAAATTTAGTATACATTGGTTGAATTGATGTTGTTCAATTGGTTTTGATGCAACCCAGATCGCCCTTGCAAATGAGGCAATGCTGTTTCATGCGCCCCACTCGGTTTATTGTATCTCCTGGTTAAATGAAGAGTTCAACAACAGCAACAATAGCCCACCCCACATACAGCACAGCAGCAACAACAACAACAACAACAAAAGGAAAGGTTCAATTTCGATTTAAAGCTTTCGTGACTGCAGGGATTCATCTTCTTGGTTCTTTCGGTAAAGTCACGTAGAAGGAAAAAAAAATGAAACATAATAAAATACAATTCTCACGACGTTTCGGCCACAACGCTAGCAGCCGTCCTTCACCTGAGGTGCTCTGCTCTCTGGGTGAATATTTGCTTTTCTGCCTCCTGCTGTGGCTGGAGGGCAGCTGCCCACCAACTGCCCAGTCGCGTTATTCATAAGCCCTTTCACAGGATGATCTTGACATCACTGGTAGCAGTCATCGGCAAGTCCAATCAGCTCCAAGTGCTCCTGTACCACAGCAGCCCAACTCTTATTTATACCGTGCCATGCCCATTCACCCCCCTCAATCCAACCAAACAGAAGCTGCTTGGGCATGCGGTCGCTGTGGGATGCTGGCAACCTGACTCAGCTAATATACCCTTGCCTGCCCCAGCGGAGTGTACTCGTGAAACTGTGTCCAGATCTCTCAATGATCTGAGAGCTCCTCACACAATCTAGCTTGGTTATAACCAGTATGGATCTCGATTTAAAGCTTTCGTGACTGCAGGGATTCATCTTCTTGGTTCTTTCGGTAAAGTCACGTAGAAGGGAAGTAATAAAAGAATAAAAATAAAACATAATAAAATAAAATAATTCTCACGACGTTTCGGCTACAACGCAAGCAGCCGTCTTCAGGTGAAGAATGAGACACTACCAAACTAGGAGCTTATATATAAGCTGCGTTGGAGGTGGAAGAGCGCCTTAACAAAAAGAATGTGCATATGAAGAGGAATTTAGCATATTCATGGAAAATGCGTAGGCGTTGGGCGGGGGGGTTTCATAATGCATGGGCATAATATGACTTTGAAACCCCCCCCCGCCCAACGCCTACGCATTTACCATGAATATGCTAAATTCCTCTTCATATGCACATTCTTTTTGTTAAGGCGCTCTTCCACCTCCAACGCAGCTTATATATAAGCTCCTAGTTTGGTAGTGTCTCATTCTTCACCTGAAGACGGCTGCTTGCGTTGTAGCCGAAACGTCGTGAGAATTATTTTATTTTATTATGTTTTATTTTTATTATTTTATTACTTCCCTTCTACGTGACTTTACCGAAAGAACCAAGAAGACAGTATGGATCGTGGATGGGTCTTTTTTGTTGTTGTTGCTATGCCCACTCACCACAGATTCCCGTTGTAAAGTAGCCGAGCAACTGGGAACCGTCCATGTAATAAATAAAAAAATGCGCCACCGCTACACACACACGCACATATATACCTTTCTATCACCACAAGTGGATATTACAGATGTAATGTCTACTGCTTCAGTGACCTATCATATTATCCTGCCAGGTAGCACTGTGGTCAAAGTTATTGACTCACAATCAGAAGGTTGTGAATTCCATAGTCAGTCAGTTGTTGACTAAGGTCATCAGTATCATGATCCCTGTGACATGGAATGATACTTGTGCGAAGTCAATAGTAGTTGTCCAATGGTTGTCCCATGGATAAACTTGTCCCTGTCATGGGAATATGGATAATATGGGTGCCGTGGTGGCGAAATGTAAACTGCCCCACCTGGTATATAGAAGTTTGTCGGTTCGATCCAGACCCTGACGCCTATATATTTGGAGTTTGCATGTTCCATCCATGGTCGCATGGATTTTTCTCCGGGTCATCTGGTTTTTCTCTCGACATTTAGAATCCCCATGTGTTTACAGTATTTGGCTGCTACATATATATTTACACATGATAAGCCATTAAGTTGAGATATCATTTGTGGCCAGGTCGTTTCTGAAAAAGAACTACATAGCTCGGTGGGCCTTACCTGGTAAAATAAAAAAAAATGTGACTATTTTAATTCGGAGGTCTAGTTACAATCATGGTTACATAGGTCGTGATACAAATGGCGAGTATCGGTACGTGCTTTACATGGTCCAAGTATAGCGACCCAGTCGAGAAGGTTAAACAATAATAACACGACGAGATTCTTTTACAAACAAAAATAAAGGAAGGAAAAAAACAATACTTTACAAAACCAAACACAATTAGTGGCTGGGAACTTTAACTCTAAGCCAAACAAACTCGGGCTCATGATTATCTACCTATAGTTTATATGGCGAGTGTGAGAATTTCAATTAATCGCACAAATCAATGAAAGATTTACACACCCTGTGGACAACGAGCTAGGGGCACCTGCGACGAATGTGTTCTCATTCCATTTCATTTCGTCTTTGCTCAGGTACGGATGGACCGCTGACGGGAAGTACGTTATCCCAAGACACAAGCCGCAGGACACGTGCGCAAGGGGGCAAATCGGCTTGCTGATATATGAGAGCCAGCAGAACAAGTCTTTCGATGCCTACTGCTTCAACAGTAGCGGTAAAAACCATGCACTGCTCACGCGCATTGCACGTTCCGTTATAAAAGAAACCCAACCTTAACGCGCAATTATCTGTATTATTTGCCGACGAAGCAAATTTACATGTGATGACTGCAAGACACTGCCTGTTACAGTTCCACTTGGGACAAGTTTAGGATAAAAAAAATGTCAGATTTTCAGATATTCTAAGGACAATATTGAAATGGAGCGGAATGCCCTTCCTTGCCCTGTCCGACCTCTCATATCATACGTGCCGTCGCTTGTTCGTCTGGGTGACCCTCATAGCGGAGACTCATTATCCAGTGGGTTCTCACTTGGTGAACCATACGTAAAGTCAATCTCAACCAAACTATTTAAATATTCTTGGGTTTTTTCGGTAAAGTCACGTAGGTAAAAAATAAAAATTAATAAAAGTAAAATAAAAATAAAATAAAAATCACGACGTGATTTTTATTTTATTTTCATTTTACTTTCATTAATTTTTATTAAATTTTTTACCTACGTGACTTTACCGAAACAACCCAAGAATATGAATCATTGCAGTCACAAAAGCTTCAAATCTAGAACAAACTATTTAAACTAATTGTTTTTTTAACCAACTAAAGCCCACTGATCTATATAGCTCTTTTTAGAAGCAACCTGACTAACAAAAATGACGGCTCAACGAAGTGGCTCATCACGTGGAAATTTATAGCAGCCAAATACTCTAAATGCACGTTGATTCTAAATGTGGAGGGAGAAACCAGGGGACCCGGAAACAAATCCACGTGACCACTGGCAGATCATGCAAACTCCAAACATACAGTGTCAGGGTCGGGATAAAACCCACGACCTCCTGCATTTCAGGCGAGGTAGTTGACATATAGCCACCATGGTGCCCACTCAATCAATGGATGCCTTCAGTATCGTCCAGACAGCCTTTCCGTGGGGTTGGAGGAGGGTGGGGAGAGCTAAAGTTCATTGGAAGCCACTCCACTCTTGTAGAGGCGGAAGGTTTTTTGTTGTTTGTTGGTTTGTCTTGTTAACCAGTTAATAACTTGATGAACCAGGAAAGTCTAATGTCCAAGAGTGGCCTGGGGTCATGGAAATTATAAGAAAGGAATTCACCAAAACGTATCAAGGAAATCACGGGCGGTCTCTGCTTTTATGACGCAATGCTTTTCGGAAAGGCCGGTCATCATAACTCTGACCCCTATTTTTCCTTACGCAGTATAAACAGTGGAAACGTGTTTTTCCGCTGATCAGCCATGCTGAACAGGGTTTAAGAGGTCAAAATCCACAACACACACTTGAGAATAATAAAAAGTTCCACGCCAAGTCACAAGGGAAACCAGACCGACTCTGTTCAAATGCGGTTAGGAGTCGTGTCAGAAGGTACGTCGTAAATCGATTCATGGTGCCATTATACAGACGTCGTAAATGTGGATCATTGTAAATTGGACCGTCGTAAATTTCCGACTGCCTGCATGACAACATTTCTCATGTTTCTTGTAAAAGAACGGATCACCCAGAATTAGCAAAAATTATCACGCTAATTTGGACATATTGATTGAAGGAATCATAGACAAATGGTCAAGAATAATCATGGAGTGGCACCTAGGTATGGAACGTCTGGGAAGATAGAGCGATGAATTGATTTCTTGACCAGGTGCTGGATGGATTGTTGCATTGTCAGACCGTATGAGGTGGCAGTCACTTGGGAAGGCCATCATACAGCAGTGGATTGATAATTCCTGACAATGATGATGACGATTAGGTGAACAGGCTAGGCCAAGTTTCGGCAACCTGTGGCTCCGAAGACGTATGTGGCTTTGTGACGTTATTTAAGACCACCATCTCATATTCACATTTCATTGCAGCTCTTAAAATATAGATTTTTTTTTACCAAATTCGAGAAACATGGCTCTTTATAAATATTGACTTAAAGCTTTCGTGACTGCAGGGATTCATATTGTTTGGGTCCTTCGTTAAAGTCACGTAGATAGGTTCAAAGAAAATAACAAAAAACTATGACCTTTCGATCGCAACACAAGCGGTCGTTATCAGCTGGAGAAGAAAGAGGGGTTCGCCTCTAAAGGCAAACTGTTTATAAAGGTGTTTATAATGGGTGTAGCCCAAGTGTCAGAACGGAGTGGGCGGGGCACAGGGCCCTGGGGCAGCATGGGCGGAGGAGCTTATGTTAATGTCAGGGATTAAAAAAACGGTGGGCTTGTTACATGTAGGTTGGAGAAGGTTATGTTAATGTGATGGGGGGGGGGGTGAAAAAACTGGTGAGCAACGGACAGTGCTGAAATGGCAACATTACAGCCAGTTATGACTTAAACTGGTTTATAACATCCTTCCAGCGATTGCTCAGTGTGTACCCATCTTCTCGGTTTGAATTGTGTCGATGTCTGTATATCTGGATGGCTTCATGAACGAATCTTTGTTGATAGCCAGTGGGTTTTGCAAAGTACCTTCGTCTTAGAGAAAACAATTTTCGTGTGAGCCCACCGCATTACAACAATGATCAACCACGGCCGAGGTATTCATCCTACCGTGTTATTGCATGTCAGGCATCACATCCTTCACAGATGGGATCAGATCACGAATTGTATGTACTTTGTTAAATCGAACCTGGATCTTGTGTTTACTCATGATTTTGGAAATATTTTTGGTGACCCCTGCTATGTATGGCAAGGTGATGGTTTTGATTGGGTCCGCAGATGGTTCTTTCCTAACGGTTGGGGTGAGAGCTTTACGCATTGTGTAGTCTGAATATCCATTCGTCTTGAGAGCTTGGTGTACATCTTCTTTCTTCCGCTTGATGACAATTGCGTTGCGATTGAAACGTCGTGACCTATTCTTTTTTCTACCTACCTGACTTTACCGAAAGAACCAAAGAGCATGGAATCCTGCAGTTACGAAAGCTTCAAATCAATCTTGTCAACGTCTAACTTTTTAATCTGTGGATTCTGGTTTCTTCTTGGAAAGGAGGTTGAACTTGGAAATCAGGTTATCTTTGCATTTATCTGACATTGAGACAGCTGAAGAGTATGGCTCTTCTTGTTGTTGTGGTTGCCAACGCCTGGGCCAGGCTATCATCTCCCCTGCTCCCATTGGCAGTGGTGAGTACAAGAGACAGGGGAACAAACCTATTCGTTGAGCACTTATGGTTAGTCATTTGCCAAAATGTGACAAGATAACAATTGGCGACTAACTAATACATTAATTAACAGGCCGTGTCGGGAAATGTCTAAATTGGTACAGCATAATGCCAGATTGTACTTATTTTATTTGTACGTGCGAATATATGGCAAATGGTTGTGGAAAAAAGTGAAATCAATTTGTATGTTTAATGCGTGTTCACGTTTTGTACTTGTTTTAACTTCCCCCCCCCCCCCCCCACAGAAATGGGTGTAAAATACTGCAACAAGTCTGACATCACCGTGACCATCATTTGGAAGAATGTCGTCCCTGACTCAAACTCATCGACAACCACAACTGCCGCCGCAATGGGAGTGGGCAACAGCACGTTGAATATGATAGACGCCAACGCCACAGCGGGTATACGAAACGTGCATTTTTATATCAATCAATTGCACATCTGGTAAAAGGCACAGCCCTGCAATGTCTCACTCATGCCATTGTTGGCAGAAGGGGCCTCAACGAGAGGGAGCTCTAGAGGGTATGTTTGGCCTACTCTTCCACGTAGACGGAACGTCTTCGAAGAGGTGGGAGTACTCACACTCTACGCCCACCACAGACGACCTCCTCGATCGACCAACAGTGGTGTAACCCATTGGGTGGACGAGTGCTGGGGGATTTAAGAAATGTGCCCCATTGTTACAGCTGCCTCCCCTGGATCACAAGTTCAGTGCTCGAACCCGTCCCCCTGCCTTAGCATCCTTGTCTGTGCGGCGTATGGATACAATGCTATTGGTTTGTATAGTCTTCTTGGTTCTTTCGGTAAAGTCACGTAGAATGGAAATAATAAAATAATAAAATAAAACATTATAAAATAATTCTCACGACGTTTCGGCCACAACGCAAGCAGCCGTCCTCAGGTGAAGACCAGGTCTGTCGGGGAGACAGCGTCTGATTGAAACGTCGTGAGAATGATCTTATTATGTTTTATTTTATTATTTTATTATTTCCATTCTACGTGACTTTACCGAAAGAACCAAGAAGATGAATCCCTGCAGTCACGAAAGCTTTAAATCGAAAATTGTTTGTATAGTGTTTGGTTTTAATGAAACACAATCCCATGTTTTGGCATTTTCTAAGAAACTCAACCAGTTTGTTACAATTACTTTTAATGATATTGTGTTCTTATACACTTATACATAGGGCCAAAGCATTGACACAGTGATAATTGGTTCTTTACCCTTCTATCTGGCAACAAAACTGACACCTTTTTACAAGGAGTCATGTTTGCATAGACCGCAATACCTGCAGTCATAATACAAACAAAAGAACATAACTCTGATAATGTGCGGGCTGGGTTCCAAAAAGGACAGTGCACATTATCAGAGTTATGTTCTTTTGTTTGTATTATGACTGCAGGTATTGCGGTCTATGCAAACATGACTCCTTGTAAAAAGGTGTCAGTTTTGTTGCCAGATAGAAGGGTAAAGAACCAATTATCATGTTTTTACTGGCAAATGAGGTCCCCATAGCATTGACACAGTGGTTATCACACTGCGCTCTGAACCCAGTGACCCGTGTTTCGTTCCTCACGGCTAACATCAGTCGCAAGTGATATTCGAATGGGACTGGTCCAGTCCCCATCCCTTTGCCGACTCACCCCGAACCAGAGTGGTAAATATGGCCAAACAGGTGGTACTTAAGGGGTGGGTAAAAACAAATGAATAAATACAATTCCAGAAATATGCATTTTCGTTTTAAATGAAAAGCAACTAATCTTCGTCGTTGTGAGCTGTGATGAAAATCTTGGGGGGGGGGGGGGGGGGTTGCGGGCTGCTTTCCCAACTTTGCTTGAGAAATGTGGTCTGGAGGGAGATTGCAAGATAAGGACAGAGTTCGTGAGCAAACTCACCACGCGTCGACGACGGGCTGGGTTCGAAAGAGACTGTCGAAAAGGCATCTACGGAAAATTTAAAAAACACAAAGAGACTCAGGATCGGCGGGACCTGGAGCGGTCCGTTAAATGAAAGCTTGCATTGTCACGCGAGACGATGAGTCCGTGTGTACAACAGTTCGGCTCGTTAGGCTCAGTAGATTCGAAGATATTACAGACAACAGAGCAAGTTAAATAAAAGTGTGTAAAAACGGTGCGTTATTCTGTGCTCGGCTGTATTTTCGTGCTCTTATTTTCAGGCGAGAAACTGATGCAAGTTAAAGAAGCAAGTTAGAAGTAGTTTTTTTAAATATGAATTTTATTGTTTTCATGAAATTTGCAAAAAACTATTTCATGAAAAAAAAATCACTAAAATGTATTACATATCCTGAATCGTATAATCACTTAAAAGGATGTCAGCCCCCTTATAGGAGGCTTGCTCATATAAGGATTCAACTCCTGACCACTGCTAACATCCGTGGTGACATCTGAAACCGTACTGGGCCCACACACGAACCAGTATGATGAAGTATGGTCAAACAAACCTAATCACATATGCAGCATGGGGAGGTCTCCATCCAGCAGTGGATTGACCAAAGGTCGTGATTATTATTATGCATGTGTAATTTTAAATATGTCATTAACATAATATTTTTTGCTTAACCCATTGCTTTCTCTTTTTTTCTTATAGATTATGTCTTAGACAAGCACATGAAGGCTATCAAAGGTAATTTGCATTAAGCCTCACGCACGGACTCTAACAGGTTCAAAGCCCCACTAGGAAGGCCTGAAGGTGGAAACATCACGTGGTAGGGCTGTTAAGGTGGAAACATCACGTGGTAGGGCTGTTAAGGTGGAAACATCACGTGGTAGGGCTGTGAAGGTGGAAACATCACGTGGTAGGGCTGTTAGGGTTCAAACATCAAGTGGTAGGGCTGTTAAGGTGGAAACATCACGTGGTAGGGCTGTTAAGGTGGAAACATCACGTGGTAGGGCTGTTAAGGTGGAAACATCACGTGGTAGGGCTGTTAAGGTGGAAACATCACGTGGTAGGGCTGTTAAGGTGGAAACATCACGTGGTAGGGCTGTGAAGGTGGAAACATCACGTGGTAGGGCTGTTAAGGTGGAAACATCACGTGGTAGGGCTGTGAAGGTGGAAACATCACGTGGTAGGGCTGTGAAGGTGGAAACATCACGTGGTAGGGCTGTGAAGGTGGAAACATCACGTGGTAGGGCTGTTAAGGTGGAAACATCACGTGGTAGGACTGTGAAGGTGGAAACATCACGTGGTAGGGCTGTTAAGGTGGAAACATCACGTGGTAGGGCTGTGAAGGTGGAAACATCACGTGGTAGGGCTGTGAAGGTGGAAACATCACGTGGTAGGGCTGTGAAGGTGGAAACATCACGTGGTAGGGCTGTTAAGGTGGAAACATCACGTGGTAGGGCTGTGAAGGTGGAAACATCACGTGGTAGGGCTGTGAAGGTTAAAACATCACGTGGTATGGCTGTGAAGGTGGAAACATCACGTGGTAGGGCTGCTGCAATCCAGAGGTCGCTGGTTAAATCTCCCGGCATGGCAAGTTTCTTAAATTACTGCCCCCGTCTATGTAACACGATATTTATATATAAAGGTTTATTCTACCAGGAAAGGACTACTGGGCTAATAGCTCTTTTTCAGAACTGACCAGGCCGCAAACGATAGCCCAACGAAGTGGCTTATCGTGTGTAAATTTATAGCACCAAAAAGAACTAAGCGCATTATTCTAAATGTGGAGGGAAAACTCAGAGGACCGGGAGAACAATCTACGCGACCATGGGGAGAACATACAAACTCCAATTATACAGACGTCAGGTTTCAGATCAAACCCACGACCTCCTGCATACTAGGCGAGGGAGATAACATCGAGACACCGCGGCGCCGAGCGGTGCACGTGGGTGCACGTGGGAGCACCATAGCGGGTCGACGGGCAGGTCGCTTGTCATTGCTCCCACCTCTTTCAGAGCATATGGCCAGCATTGAAGAGTAGGCAGAAATACCCTCCAATTGGTTGTAGAGCTCTCTCTAGGTGAGTGTCACAGGCTGCAGCGGTGGGAGTACCTTCATTGGCAGGGCTGCGTCTTTACATTGTGGTCTTTGTTTTTTTTCTTGCTGCTGTGCTCACGCACCCATGGATATCCCCTGTAAAATAGCCGGGCAAATTGGCTAAATGGGACCTCCCGTGTAACAAATCAAATAAAGGCAATTGTGTGGTATGCAAGCGGGTTGTTGTGTGGTACAGTGCCACGGACAGCCACCTACGGATGAAAGTTTGGGGTTTATCATTCTGGACAAGTCACTGTGGAAATGCTCATACACTTTGGAGCCACCATTGGAACCTCATTTGCCAGTAAAAAATATGATTATTATTTTTTTACCCTTCTATCTGTTGCCAGATCTGTTGCCAGATAGAAGGGCAAAAAAACAATTATCATATTTTTTACTGGCAAATGAGGTTCCAATGGTGTAAATGCTTACCCCGAGCTCTCATACTCTGATGGTGCATTGTCTTTGAGTTGTGCGCCTTTTGGCGTCATCTGGTCCAACCCATGTGAGACTAGGCTCTAAGGAAAGATGTCTCGGGTGTGGACCAATCAACTTCAAGGACAGTGCATATATTATCAGAGTTATGTTTTTTGTTTGCATTATGGCTGCAGGTATTGTGCTCTATGCAATCATGACTCCTTGTAAAAAAGGTGTCAGTTTTGTTGCCAGAGAGAAGGGTAAAAATACTTTGGAGCCGTTTGTCAGCGGTGGAAATTCCACAGTTCAATGGCAGGATCCATTCTTCATAGGATGATCACTGTGATGGGGTTTTGTCAACCCCCACCTGAGATTTGAACTCTCCACCTTATGACTGTGAATCGAGTGTTCTGACGAGAGTGTCACAGCGGCACATTGGATTTCACAGAATGTAATTTTCCTTGCATTGTTTTGATCTTCCTTTTCTGTACTTTCCTGCACTCCTTTTCTGCTTCATTTGCAGCATTTCTGCATGCCGCAGACAAGAAGGTGAAAGGTAAGCAAGACTCATATAAGGTGGCTCACATCACGTAGTGTAATTAACAAAGCTAGAACCTCTCTCTGGTCAGTCTACGTCATATTAAAAGGAGAGATGTATGTTATCTCCAAGATAATGTATCAATGGTCACACAAGGTTAGGCAGCTTGGCTGTGAATGAACTGATGATCTAGAGCAGTGCTTCTTAACCTTTACTGCAGACTGCACCCCTTTTGATTCTCAATCGTAAACAATTGTAAAATGTTAATAAATACATAGGTTTGATGAAACAAAGTAGTTGTAGGCAACATAAAACACACACAGTATTCTCGTGGTGTCGACCTTTCTTAAACAAAATAACCCCTTGATGTGTCTGCATGCCTGTGTGCATGCACACGCATTCGTTTTTCTTGGTGAAATGTTAACTCCCTCGCCTGGTATGCAGGAGGTCGTGGGTTCGATCCCGACTGATGCCTATATATTTGGAGTGTGCATGTCTCTTTCCTCGTGATCGTGTGATTTTTTCTCCGGGTCCTCCAGTTTTTCCCTCCACATTTAGAAGCATGCGTTTAGAGTATTTGGCTGCTATAAATGTCCATGTGATAAGTCACTTCGTTGAGCTATCATCAGGAGAACGCATCACATTAAAAAACACATTTATAACTTAAAGCCTGCAACGCAGAGCGATCAATTGCACGTACACTTGAAAGGATATCTGAGGTCCTACAGTGATTTAAAGTAGGATAAGGCTGGTAAGGTTTTGATCCCAAACTTCTTCAATTGGCTCTTCCAGATGTTAAGGGCCGCCACGCGGCAAGGAATTTAAAACGGGGTTGGTTCTCCGAGAGTAGCGGTTCTTGGAGCAGGAACAGCGAGGAGCTGTTAAGGATACGGCAAATCGCTTGAGGGATCAAATGATCTCGAAGTAACTTAGCAGATTTATTTTGTAACACTTTGAGGATGAAGAATATAGCCCCAATGGAATTCCATGCGTAGATCAAGTCGGCGCTGTTTTGAGTGTAAAAAGTTCAGTGAACAGCAGTTGCAGAATGTCTCGGTGATCTGTTTTCGGACACGAAGTATAGAGATGCAAACACAAATCTGAAACACAGCTACTAAGTTACGGGGAACGAATATCAGCAGACCGCAATCATCAATTCGTGAAATTTCACGAGGAATCATATTGTGGCAACACTAGTCACGTAACTGGCTTTAAAACAATAATGACATGAAGTGATGAAAATATGAATGTTATTGTTGTTTTTTTGTTGCAGGAACGAGCATTTACTTTTGGATTGCGCTGCTCATTGCATTGATGTGTGGGCTTGCGGCTGCTATTTACATAACAGTCATCACATGGTAAGTTAATTTTGCGTGCAGAACGCTCACGATTTCTAGCTAAGATACACTTGAAGCTGGATATTGGAACACGCCTTATAAGCACAATTCTAATATAAGCGACAAATCTTGACACTACACTGGTGGTGGTGGGGGAGGGAGGGAAAGGGCAGCATCAGATACATGCACACTACTTCAGATATAAACAGTTGATCTTACTGCCAAGGTCTGTGATCATATTCGGCTTTTACTGTAAATAAAAAACCTGCTTTTCCATGTGCGTCTCTCCCAACGGTTCGTTTAAAATACGGCGTGGGTGCACCGTGAAATGATTAAATAAACACGCCGAGTCGCGCGTGTGAGACAATGGTTCTCGACCAGGTTGGTGTGGCTGGCCCCCCAAACAAGACCACGAATTTCCCTGCTCTCCCATCCCACCACCAGCCCTAGAACATAACCATGCTCAGTAAAGCCACAGTGAGGAGAAATCACTCGCCCATGCCTCGACTCAATGTGGTACAATTACCAAAGCATTTGCTTCAGTTGGGTATTCGTGTGCGTCGTGTTAGCAAGGGACAAGCAACTTTTTTTAAGCACCATGGCACCCCACGGGATGCAGAGAAGATGTAATGTATGGAAGAAGAAAAACGAATGGGAAAGGGAAGAGAGGAGAGGAGAAATAATTGGAAATAAGATTAAAAGGAATGGGAAAAGGGATGAAAAGAGAGGAGAAAAAATGGGAAATAAGATGAAACGGATGGAAAAAGGAATGAAAAGACAGGACCAATGGGTAAGGAGAGATGAGGAAATGGAGGCTGAATCTACAGAAGGGCATCCACGCCGCTCAGGGCAGCGTCTGTTTTCACACGGGGCCAGCAGAGGGGACAGATTCAGAGTGGGGGTGGACACACAGAAGTCACCCGGTTAAACTGGAGGCTCGAGCTGATCTAGATATGGAGATTTGTTTCACGTTACGTATTTGGCGTGCGTTGCACGAGTCAGGCATTTGCTTCGCGTCATGGTTATCGTACGTTCTGTAGCCGACACGTGATGCTGGTGTTTCCCCGTGCGCATTTGAATGTCTCCTGCACGGTATCCATGCCACAGCCTGCGAATGCCCTATCGGTTTAGAAGATGTCGTGTAAGAATCGATGTTTTTTTCTATTCGTATAGATGTTCTGTGTAATGGGTTCAAATGAACACTGCAGCCATTGGTGGCCACTGCACACGCCACAATGTTACTACAAGAACCGATTATCAATTAAATTGCCACGCTGAAATGACACGATTTACTAAATTCACCCCGAGTCAGATGATTACATTAACATTGCTGCCTCAACTTTTAATGAAAACATCACCGTCAACATTAAATATTGCTTAAAATCAATGTTGATTGGTCATTTAACATTTAATGTACAGTTTTCACTAAAAATACTACTGAGATCAATACATTCTTCAGCTCTTCTCTTAAAGCCTCACCTCTTCTCTATTGTCCCTTCGCCCCTCCACTACTTCCCGTCCCTCCCTTCCGTGATCTCTAAGCACCCCTCTATCGCGGTCACTCATTCCTCAATCCTTGCCCATGCCATCTAAATAATGATATTGCGTCACCTCTTTTGTAAGCTATGTCAAGCGGCTTAAATGGAGCCGCTCTGTAAATATTAATTAGATTACATGTTTTTCTTAGCAATGTAAATAAAGAGAAACCAGACAAAAATTGCAGCATGCATACATGTGTGTGTTAGAAATTTTGAGAGCAGTGGTGAAAAGTCACTACACTGTGAACCTGATAACCTTGAGTTTGATGCTCTGCTATGGCGAACAATGGCCTTTCCTTAAATAAAAACTCTGTGCATTTTCTAATAATCCGCACTGGACAGACAATTGTGGCTTGGGTATGGTCGGGGCCAACCATCTCTTCAGGTGCCATTCTCACAGCACTTGTCCATATTGACTAGAATGCTAAATGGAGGATATTTGTGTTTGTGTGTTTAATGTGCAGTTCAAGATCATGAAAACGAGTGGCCTGACATTGAGTGGACGAAGAAACAACTTCGCGTTCTCGCTACCCTGCCATCACCTTCACTGCACTGTCACTTGCACGACTAACATGTTGACCGAGAGTGTAGTGACCGAAATGCCATGGACAGACCCTCGAGCACAAGGTGATCTAGTTTGTGTAACTCGACTCTGACCATGACAGGTCAAAAACTAAGCACACAATTGGAATAATTTATCCAGGAATCCTCAATGAGTCTCAAAACTATTTTTTTCAAGAGGGCCTTGAATTTGGACTATTATTTGTATAACTAGTGTTTCGCATGTTCTATGTATGTACATTAAACTTTTTTTGCACCGTACATAGCCAACCATGCTCATTGGAGGTGCGGGAGAAGGACAACAAGAGCATTGTGAGTGGTACATGTCGGCTTAGTGATAGGGGTAGTGATAGGGGTAGTGATACGGGTAGTGATACGGGCACCACGGTGGCGAGATGTTAACTATCTCGCCTGGTATGCAGGAGGTCGTGGGTTCGACCCTGACCCTGAAGCCTGCTGTATATTTGGAGTTTGCGTGTTCTCCATGTAGTCATGTGGATTCTTCCCCAAGTCCTCTGTTTTTTTCCCCACCACATTTAGAATCACCATGCGTTTAGAGTATTTGGCTGTGATGAATGTCCGCATGATAAGCCACTTCGTTTGTGGCCAGGTCGTTTCTCTATAGATCAGTGGGCCTTACCTGCAAGATAAAAACAATAGTTTTGTTTTTAGTTTAGGGTAAAGTACCTGGAGAAACTTTTACTTGCCAGAATAAAACAATTCAAAAGGTGCGCACAGATGGGTTTACAAACCTACTTTCTGTACTCCTTCTTTGCACCCAAGCAGCTTTTGGAGTTCCACAAATCCTCATTCTCCACCGTCTCCGGCCTCCAAATTGCTGGAGTGCAGGCGTGCAACACGAAGCTTAGCTCACGAAGCTAAAGTGGCAATAACAAAAACGACTTCATCCAAAATCGAGAGATATGCAGAGTTTGTACTTCTAACTCGTGAAAGCCTCACTGAGCCGCAACACAATTTTCCAGGAGGGTCTTACACGAGTTAAAACAATTAAGCTAAATTAATTCGTGAGTAATTTTGTAAGTGGGAAAAAAAAATTGAAAATCTGGAGAAAATGCTTCGTAAAAAGGTACACGTAAAATGATAATAGGTGTAATATATGTCAATATAATAGGTGTTAAGATTTTCAAACACCAAATAGAAACCTTTTGCAGCGAATCAGGTAACTGCATTAACCACACGTACTTGTGGTGAACATGCAAACAAACATGCTCTGATACAGGAAAGCCACCCACACGGATGCTTATCTAAAACCGGATTCCCACCACCATCCATCCCAGAAGAATTCCCTCATCAAGACTCTATATCATAGAGCCCAATGCATCTCCGACCATGAACACATTTCCAGTGAACTCAAACACGTACGCCAAGCTCTTAAGGCTAATGGTTACTCCGACTACACAATCCGCAAAGCCATCACTCCAACCATCAAGAAGGATCCTGTTGAGGAGCCTTTCAAGACCATCACCTTACCCTACATTGCTGGGGTCACAAAAAAGATCTCCAAAATCCTGATTAAACACAAGATCCAGGTCCGATTCAACACAGTACATAAAATCCGTGATCTGGTCCCGTCTGTAAAAGATGTGGTTCCAGACATACAGTACCCTGGCGTCTACAAACTAAGTTGCCTCTGTGGTAGCAGTTACATTGGAGAAACCAAACGACATGTCTCGGACCGCATCCGTGAACATAAGGCAGACCTGAAACACGGTAGGACAAACACCTCAGCCGTGGCAGATCACTGTTACAATTCAGTGGGCTCACATGACATTGACTTCTCCAAGACAAGAGGTTCTCTGCAAGCCATCTGGCTATCATGAGAGATTCATTCATGAGGCGATCCACATATACAAACACAGAGACAATTTCAACCGAGAAGATGGATTCTGGCTTAGCAATCATTGGAAGGACGTAATAAACCATTTCGGATCTTAACTGATTGTGTTCACGTTAACGGTGACTTTCAGACCGCGTTCCACTCACTGGCATGGTGCAGTGTGCAGAGTAATGTATGGTGTCGTAATTGTACAGTAAACATATAGCAGTATGATACACATTAGGGTGGGTAGAATAATACATAGTGTTATATTAAAATGGATAAGGCAGCAACTGCAGCAGCAGCAGCAAGTGCAGCAGCAGCAAGTGCAGCAGCAGCAGCAACTGCAGCAGCAGCAGCAACTGCAGCAGCAGCAGAAACTGCAGCAGCAGCAACTGCTGCAGCAGCAGTAACTGCAGCTCCCTTTGATGCTGTTAATCCTGCATAATGCACATGCATATGCAGTACTAATTACATTCCTGCATTTCCCATAAATATGCTAAATTCCTGTTGATATGCAAATTCCTTTGTCAATGCGCCCAGCTTATATATATGCTCTAAGCCCGTGTGCTGTTTCATTCAGACTCTGTCGCCTCGACGGACCTGGTTTTCACCTGAGGACGGCTGCTTGCGTTGTGGCCGAAACGTCGTGAGAATTGTTTTATTATGTTTTATTTTTATTATTTTATTACTTCCCTTTTACGTGACTTTACCGAAAGAACCAAGAAGATAAACATGCTCTGATCAAATATGCGTTGCCTTTGAAACGTATTGGCCTACACCATTGACAGCCTTCTTTATGGCCTAGTCTCACGAGTGTCAGACCGGTGTTAGACAATGCATGTATCAGAGCATTCAGAGTTCGGGTTGAGCAGCAACATCATGTGACCTTTTTATCCAGTATCAACGTATGAAAAATAAGAATCGGTTGTACCCTCTATGGCAATTCAACAGGAGCTGTTAAGATGTTCAAACACCAACTAGAAACCTATTCTTATATTTCATACTTTGATCCTGGAAAAGAAAGGTCCCATGATACATAAAGTGATCTGTACGGATAGGTCATTGACCTACTTGCTGTACTACTGATTCAGCGGGTCGAAGACGATGGTGTCTCTGCGTGATCCACCCCCCCGCCCCATCTCGAAAAGTGCAGCATTAAAAAGTGTGTTCCAGCAAACGGGCGGCAAAACATTACACAGGATCATTGTGTGTACAATCATCTTAAGTGTATCAGCTGTCGAAAAATCACATTCGCAAAGCAGAGACCTTAATAGAATACAATTAAAACGCCATACGAAATCAGTTACATTGATTGAACATTTTTGTATTTTAAATGCACTCATGTAATCTTCCATTCAGCCTCATTTTAGCTTGGTACATCGTACGGGTCGGCTACATATTGGCACCGTACAAATCACATGTTTTATGACAAATCAGTGATCGTAACAACATCTTGGAATAAGGGATCATTGAAATTATTTTAATGTGTTTTAAATGTGGTTTTGTTCGGATATGAATTATCTCGTATAACAATTTAAAATTAATTTAGAGATTATCTGTGTTTTATCTATTTTTTTAACGAAACATATACAGTTCTAACAATTCCTGTACAATTATGCCAATTTAATAGGTAAAAACATATATGAAGCCTTGTGTTAAACAAGCCTGTTGTTATAGAATCAGTTGAAATCAGACTCTAGGCTAGTATTTTTTATATTATTCATATGCGGTGTTTGCTATATTTTCGTAGTTTTTTTTTTCAAATTGAAAAACATGTTTAGTTGTGCTTTGTATAATGTTTTATTACCTTTGTACATTAACATTCTCAAATAATATAAAAATATTGAGATGTAGTTCATCTTCATTTAAAGTGCTTAAGTTTAAAACAAACACTGTTTATCTGGCAAAAAATACAATCTTCTGTCATCTGTTTAAACGCTGCCCTTCAACAGAGCATTTACATTTAAGCAGTGCTGGTTTTATAAGCATATATTCCGTAAAGTAGTGAATCACAGATTTATGATGTACTCATTCGTAATTCAAAATAAAGTCAAATGTTCATATTCGTTCTACATCACGATGTGCAAATAAAACTGGACTCATTTCGGCCACCGTCCTTGCCTAGTTCTATGCTGCCCGGTTTGAGTGACGTTTTTTGGCTCGATGTCTCGCCAACAAGGGTGGGTAGGAGATGTTTGGGCCATCTACTAGATGGTCAAACTATACTTTTTTAAGAGACACTTCACTGGCTATTAGAATTACTTATCTATAATACTGAAGGAAAATTTAGATACAAATTTAAATATCTAACGACGTCCTTTTAGTGGATTTTAACAAAAGTACGTGGAAAAAAGGAGCACTTTAATATCAGTGCTAGCTTTTAGGAATATCAATGTGGGTTCATTTTGTCGCAACATTATCTTTTGAATACAACTTGGCATAATCACTGGACTGTGTTTTATTTTAATTTTAGTTTATAGCATAGGCTATCTTAAACGTGAAAATTTCAAGGGAAATTGAACAAAAACTGAAAAGCGTGAAAAACAGGTTACTCAGCGATACATTTAAGATAAATTATAACCCATGGATCAGAAAACAAATGCAGGTTAGGGACATCTTATTGACAGTTAAGATACCCGACTGAAGGATTTCTGAAAACCTATTTAAGGACAATGTGTCCTACAATATGCTGACTACACAGTCCAGGATTTTAGAAAGAATTGGAAGATTTGAGATTGGTCAGAAGTTGCTCAATTTGCTGGGGGTTTAGCTTTTGTTCAAGTGAAATAAGTATAACCCGTAAAAACAAAGTTTTTCACTATAAATCCTTTATATGCGTGGCGGCTAGAGTCCTCTCGTCCTCTGGCTTGAGATGGCTGCCACCTATGGGTCAGATGATTGTCTGCCAGTATTAAGCAATTGGCAATTAAATATTTAATTTGTTTTCCCTAAACAGTGTAAAATTTTGGAAAAAAATTTTCACGAACATTAATTGTCTCGCACAACGAGTCTGTGTGCAAAATGTCAGCTCGATTGGATCACGGGAAGTGGGTTAAAAAACGACCGAAAGATTTGCACGGTCGTAAGCAAGCAAGCAAGCACGCAAGCACGCAAGCAAGCAAGCAAGCGAACTTAATATAAAGGATTTAAAAATGGAGGCGGTTTTGAAAGCAGGTGGAACATTACCAGTGCGAAGTGACTGGTCACAAACCTGATGGACTTAATAACGTAAAGCTGGCGTGCACACGTGTGCAGGCGTCGTGTACTATTGTGGCATTGCAGCATTGTGAGGGAGCGAAGGGTGCGTGGCATTGACAAAGGCAGTTGTCCAACAGTGGATATATAAGCCCATGGGCCGATGAACGATGCATGATAAATATTACAGCCCATTCTTTTAGTTTGTATTTTGTAACCACGTTTAAGCTATTGCCTTTTGCTGAAGTCATGCAAAGAGGTGAACAAACGAATGTTTGTACGCTATTAGCAGAGCACCAACATTGTGCCGGTTAATGGCCTGGAAAGATGAAACCATTAAAAGTGACTCTGTAGTCACTTTAAAGGGCCACGTTACCAACACGAGATGGCATTCCTTTCGTGCTTCGAAAAGAGTTATTGGTTGCACATTGATTAACCAAACATCTGGACAGTATTTATACATCTGTATCACTCAGAGCTGAACATGCACTGAATTAAGTAAAAAAAAGCCGGACAAAAACAAATATTCGTGTGTGATGGTTTTTATTGCAGTCAACAGTGACTGGGCCATCAATTCACATGTTTCGACACAAAGTCTGGCTTTGACAGAAAGTTTGACACAAAGTCAAAGTTTGTGACAGTGTATTGTGACATTCTAGATTCGAAGCTTTCGTGACGGAAGCTTGTGTTGCCTCCGAAACGTCGTGATTTAATTTAGTTGTTTTCATTTATTTCATTTTTTACCTACGTGACTTTACCGAAAAAACCAAAGAGTATGTAATGTGACAGTTCGTGCAGTGTAGTTTGTGACAGTTCGTGCAGTGTGCTGTGTGACACAAAGTCAAAGTTTGACACGAAGTCTGACTTCCCGCTGGGAGCTTCTTCACGGAGTGTAATGGTGGACATCGCGCCGAATAGCACGCGGTACAACCCGAGAAACGCATCGTAGAGGTATACACCGCAGTTACGAATAAAAAAAAGCACAGGCAGTGGCAGTTGGTATTGAAAGTTGCCTAAAAAGCTAGTGATCGCCTTTGTAAAATCTCGACATGAACAATCTCAGCTTGCTGAAGCTATCTTGGATGACACACCACTAAAGGCAAAGGTGCACTGAAACAGTTTATTTGGCTTGGGTTTATACCTCGCCTGGGATACACAACACAATTTGGATTGATATCGCGTGTGAATGCAACCGCATCGCAAGATGCCATGAAGAACAATGGGACATGGGGCATCCATTTAAAATGCATGAGTCCGATGCCATGGATATAATTTATTGAGTAAAACCAATCCATTGCGTGAATGCAATGAGAATCTGAAAGCCTACGCATCAAAATGCCTTTAAATGAAACATTGACTCAGGAGTCCCATGCATCACACGTTAAAAGCTGCATTGTTTATTTAAAATAACACTTTGAAAAAAAAATGTCATGGTTTGAATCATGTATTTCGTATGCGGCACAGGGTTACGTAAATTAGGGTGTCTGGTGCCACTTTCAGAGCTCCCATCTCACAATCGGACAGTTGTGGGCTTCAATGAATAGAACTATGATTTTTTATTTATTTTACCATTAAAGGCCCACTGAACTATATGGCTCTTTTTCAGAAGCGACGTGGCCACAATGATAGTTCAACGAAGTGGCTTATCACGTGGACATTTATAGCAGCCAAATGCTCTAAATGCACGTTTCTAAATTGGAGGGAAAAGCCAAAGGACTCGGAGAAAAATACACGCAACCACGGGGAGAGAGACATGTAAACTCCAAATATGCAGGCGTCAGGGTTGGAATCAAACCCACGACCTCCTGTATACCAGGCGAGATAGTTAACATCTCGCCACCGCGGCACCCTGGTCTGGGGTTGAGTAAAGATCACTTAAACATTCTTCGACCTCAGTTCACTCAACTCAAGCTTGTCATGAAGAGTCTTACAATAATTGCACCTGCAAAATCTATTAGGCTTATAGCACACATGCTGTCAGTTATACCAGATAAATGAAACAATTAAGCTACCACACAAACATTACGAGCTCATATAACCAGCATGCCGTTAATTATAAAAAAAAAATTGCTAACCGCGAACGTAATCCGTAATATAGTTTTTAATAAAGAACATAATAATTGTGCTCATGTTATGTCATGGTTATTTTGTTAGGGATTACAATATATATTACTTGAGCAAAAATAATCGTGACATAGCGATATTTAGTCAAATGGACGAGACGATTATCATAGACGCTAGATCGTACGATATCAGAAGCAGAATATTTATTCAGATTGGAAGAATCCGATGAGCTATGAAGCTCCTTTTCACAGATGTCCAGTAGACGTGGGTCAGGGGGTCACAACAAACATAACACGAGTTTACATGCAGTTGATGTTTCTACTCCTTGGCAGATCCACCAACTATTTATGCGGCAAATCGTTTAAGTGTATATGTATGTATTATGTCAGCTTGTAACGTGTCGCACAGTATTCACTGACTCTTGAAGAGGGACATATCGACTTAGAGGGTTGAGGAGGCACCACAGACAAGCCGAAAGGCAGCAGCCAGCCGGCGCCGACAATTGTCCAAGCTCTGCTGCCCTCTATATATAAAGAAGTTATCGGCCAATTGAGTGTGGGAGGAAACCGGAGCACCCGGAGAAAACCAAATAGCATGCGAGGGAGAAACATTATATCCCATACAGAACGAACAGATGGAGCCATCATTTGCTGCACCACTTTCAACTGGCAAGAAAGGGTATGACTCCGTGTTTGCGTGACCCACCAATCCTCGCCTCCACAGTGCTGAACTGAAGGTGTTCGTCCCCACCGCAACCACCACCGTCACCATCATCTGTTATAAGTACTTATTTAACACCGCGCAACATAATTTACGTGGGTGCCACTCTATGTCACTCTCATGGCTCTGTAGACGCACATTTGACAGATTCCTAAAATTAAACCAGTGCAGTGACAATCATTGTCTCGATATAACTGCAGTTGCCAAAGTCACTGTTTTTCCTCTCCAAAGAATGACATATGGTTAGAAGAGAAGGCCGATTGCTGTAGCAGGCAATCGTTTCAGCGCTCAAACTCACAGAGGTCATGATTTCAAAGCCCCGGGAAGGATTTACTGCAGCAAATTTGGGGCTGATAAAATACATACCACTATCATCAGGCATCAGCAACGGTTATCCCGCGCATATACTGGCCACCTTCACAGGGAAATTGGATTTTCCACCACAAGTGATATCCATCGCTCCTTAGATGTAAAGATAAAGGTGCAGCCCTGCAATGACGAGATCACGCCATGGCTGGTGGAAGGGCCTCCAATAAAAGAGTGATATTTATTTAGTGTCCCTCTAGAGGGTACTTTAGCCTACTTTTTCATGCTGACCAGATATCTTGCAAGAAGGTGTGAGTACCCTCACTTAATTACCCCAAAGACAAAGATCCCCCTTATAGCCTTAACAGCCTGATGGGGCAAGTGTTGTTAGCGAGCACCTATGAAGGCCTGCAAGGCATACAAGGGGGTGGTTGGCAAGCACCACTCCCGGTCGCCTTTGTCTCCCCAGTGGCGATGTTTACACACCGCACCAGGTACTCATTTGAGGCCAAGTTGACCTAGGGGAGGCCCAGCACCGGTTGAGATAATCGTCACTGAACGGGAATCGAACTCGTGTCGCCATGTTCGTATTTCTAACCGCTCCCATTCAATTACCCCACCACCACACACACCGCCTGCTGATCGACTAACTATGGTTATCGACTAACTATGGTTAGCCGACTATCTGTGATTGTATTGCATTATATTTCAAAGTTTACTAGGTTTGTTTTCTCTTTCATTTGTACTTGATGATGCTTGCTTGTGTTGCAATCGAAACGTCGTATGCTATTATTTAATTTATTTTGATTTCTACGTGACT